CTTCTATTCCAAGTTTTTTAAGAATGATTTAACCACACACTAAACATAACTTGCAGCCCAAGTGTAAATACTCTCACCATGAGCAAACTATCAGCATGGCATCAGTGAGTATAGAAGAGAGGATGCAGATGGCTCTCACTCACCGGACTCCTGGCATCCTGAAGAAAGGAGCCAACTGCAGGTAACTAATTCCTTTTGTCCCATAGAATTTATTCGTCTTTCTACTCCTGCTCTCAACACTATAGAATGCAAAGTAAATGGCACTCATCCTCCTTATAAATCCTCTGATTTGAATTTCTAAACTCCAGCTGCTCAGGGCTGAATAGTTGGCTCTGTGATTAAGAGCACTTGTTGCTCCTGCAAAGGACCCTGGTTCAATTTCCAGCTCACAATTGTCTAGGACTCTAGTCCCTGGGGACTGGATACCCTCATCTAGTATCTGCATACGCATAGTGCACAGACAGACAGACAGACAGACAGACAAAATATTCGTACACATAAATAAAAACCAGATACTGGAGCAGAGGGTGTGGCTCAGTTCCCAAGTACACAGAAAGCCCTGAGTTCAAGCCCCAGCTCCACATGAGTGCTGGTACACATCTTTATCCCAGCATGCAGAAGTAGAGGCAGAAGAACCAGGAAGTTAACATCATTCTTGGCTATAAATGAGATCAAGGCCAGACTTGATTTACATGGGAACCTGTCTCAAAAAATAAAAGCTAGCATATCGGATTCCAGTATGTGCATACAAATAGCTGTCTAGGCTATACTTCTTAATCTTTATATATATAACGTATATCAAGTTTTTATAATTTTTTAAATTACATTTATTTAGTTATATGGGGAAGCCAGAAGACAGCTTGTCAGAGTCAATCTTTTCTTCTACCACGTGTGTCCTGGGCACACAGTCTTGAGGCCGGTCGAAAGAGCCATTACAAGCTAGGCCATCTTGCCAGCTCTGTTCACACTTTGTATTAGCAGAAACAAACAACCATTTTACTTCAAAGAATTGAGAACTATTTCTGCTACCAGCTTTTGTGTGCATAATAGTTGAGTAAGCTGACCTCATCCACAGCACTGATCCTCCCACCTGTCCTACCCAAGGGGAAAGTGTACTTCCTTGTTAAAAGTCTTTTCTACTTCTCTTAAGAGAGTGTCTCAATATTGTTTGTTCAAGCCATTGCTTTGTTTTTTTGTTTGTTTGTTTGGTTGGTTGGTTGGTTGGTTGGGTTGGGTTGAGCTTTGTTCAAGAGTTTCCCCATGCAGTCCAGGGTATCCTAGAACTAGCTCTATAGAACAGGCTGGTCTCAAACTCAGAAATTCACCTACCTCTGCCTCCTGAGTGCTGGAATTAAAGGCATGTCCAATCATGTAAAGCTACTTGTTTCATTTTTAGTTTTGAGATGGTGTCTCCTTAAGTAGCCAAAGCTGGATTTGAACCCATGAGCCTCCTATCCCTGCCTTCTGAGTGCTAGTATTACAGATATGCATCACCACATCTGACTACTAAACTCTTGTTAGGAGTTAGCATGTTGACCTTTAATTTTAAAGAAAATGTTCCAATATTTAACAATTAAATAGGATTATGGATATGTATGTATGTATGTATGTATGTATGTACGTATATAACAGCTAAAGTAAGATTTTACCAAAAATGGATATGGAATTTCATAAAATCCCATTTCACTAAGAATTTGCCCTCAAGGCTAAAGAAACTGCTCAGTGGTTAAGATCACATGTTGCCTTTACAAGACTTCCCAGCACCCAAAAGGTGGTTCAGAGCCACCTGTGATCGAGTTCCGAGGGTTCCCTGCCTCTTCTGATGGATGCTCCCCAGGTATGCATGTGGCACATACACACATGCAGGCAAGACAGTCACGCACGGAAAATGTATTCATAAAACTTTAATAAATAATCTTCTCTACTACAGTAAAAAAAAAATTTTATTTTTTTTTTTGGTTTTGGTTTTTCGAGACAGGGTTTCTCTGTATAGCCCTGGCTGTCCTGGAACTCACTCTGTAGACCAGGCTAGCCTCGAACTCTCGAACTCAGAAATCCGCCTGTCTCTGCCTCCCAAGTGCTGGGTGGCGTGCGCCACCACCACCGCCCGGCTAACATCTTTTTTTTGTTTGGTTGGTTTTTTTTTTTTCAAGTCAGGGTTTCTCTGTATAGCCTGTAGCAAAACTCCATCTCTGCATTCTCTTCAGATTACCCTTAGAGCATCAAGTATTCCCAACACCAGTGGCTCTTTTCTCTTCCTGGAACTCTTCCCACTTAGGTATGTCTATGACCATTTCTCTCTTAATAACCCTAAACTGTCACCTCTTCAGAGAATCCTGAATATCAATTAAGCACTTCCTCCATCCACCTTTGCCCCACAACACTTCTAACTGCACCTGTGAACTTTAACCTCAGTGCCCACGAAGTACTTGATCCATATTAGGTAGCTGACATCTGTTAAAAGGACAAATGAATGGATTGGGACTGGAACAGGAAGTTGTCCCCACACTGGTGGCACAGCACTGTAAATACCTCCTGAGCAGGCTGCCTTCTTCTGACCTCCTTCCATAGAGTACACCACAGAAATCAATAACAACTTATGAAACTCATTGATCTAAAAATGTTTCCCAAGCCGGGCGGTGGTGGCCCACGCCTTTAATCCCAGCACTTGGGAGGCAGAGGCAGAGGCAGGCGGATTTCTGAGTTCGAGGCCAGCCTGGTCTACAGAGTGAGTTCCAGGACAGCCAGGGCTATACAGAGAAACCCTGTCTCGAAAAACCAAAAATAAATAAATAAATAAATAAATAAATAAATAAATAAAAATGTTTCCCTCCGTGGTAAGTTCTGACCAGGAATCCTTGTGATTCCATGTAAAAGAGGAGAAATTAAAGGAGGCTTCCAGAAATAAATCATAATAATCCTCTTTTCCTCCATACCGTTATCTTTATAATCAATCAAACGTAAATATACTCTGTAAATACACTGTTCGTGGCAGCTCTCCTCACATAATAAAACATCATCAACACTACAAAGCTATAGAGCAGAGCAAATATACAGAAAGGGAATCTTAAACAAACAAGAAGTTGGATCTCCGCGGCCGCTTACTTATCACCCACAATTCCCTCTTCTTTCTCTCTCCTCCAGCCGAGCAAGATGCCCAAAGGAAAGAAGGCCAAGGGAAGAAGGTGGCCCTGGCCCCCGCCGTCGTCAAGAAGCAGGAGGCCAAAAAGGTGGTCAATCCTCTGTTCGAGAAAAGGCCCAAGAACTTCGGCACTGGGCAGGACATCCAGCCCAAAAGAGATCTAACACGCTTTGTTAAATGGCCCCGATACAGCAGGCTGCAGCGGCAAAGAGCCATCCTCTATAAGCGATTCAAAGTACCTCCTGCCATTAACCAGTTCACCCAGGCCCTGGACAGGCAAACAGCTACTCAGCTGCTTAAGCTTGCCCACAAGTACAGGCCAGAGACAAAGCAAGAGAAGAAGCAAAGGCTACTGGCCCGTGCTGAGAAGAAAGCTGCTGGCAAAGGAGATATCCCACCTAAGAGACCACCTGTCCTCCGAGCAGGAGTCAATACAGTCACCACCTTGGTGGAGAACAAGAAGGCTCAGCTGGTGGTGATTGCCCATGATGTACACCCCATTGAGCTGGTGGTTTTCCTGCCTGCCCTGTGCAGAAAGATGGGTGTGCCCTACTGCATCATCAAGGGAAAGGCCAGGCTGGGTCGCCTGGTCCACAGGAAGACATGTACCACTGTTGCCTTCACACAGGTTAACTCGGAAGACAAGGGTGCTCTGGCTAAGCTGGTGGAAGCTATTAGGACCAATTATAATGACAGATATGACGAGATCCACCACCACTGGGGAGGCAACGTCCTGGGTCCTAAGTCTGTGGCCCGAATTGCCAAGCTGGAAAAGGCAAAGGCTAAAGAACTCGCCACTAAACTGGGTTAAAAAATAATGTACACTTAAGTTTTCTGTACATAAATATAATTACAAAATTATCTTAAAAAAAAAAAGAAAGAAAGAAGTTGCCCTGGGAAGCATGTTCTACTGTGGTGGCTTCTTTCAATGGACTCTGCACCCGTTTTAGAAGCAGTCTTTAAATACAAAGAGAACATGGAGGAGTTAGCAAACCCACTGACAAAAGAAAAGTACATCCCATAAGTCTGCCACAGCAGATCTGGGTCTCAGAGACAGAAAAGACACCAAGCAAGCAAGGAAAACCATCCAGACCCCAGAACACAACACTGAGTCCTCCCTGTCCTCAGGCATGCCACTGTGCCACTACCCCGACACCAACCCCAGGGACAGCAGCATCATTGGCAGAGAGACTTCCAAGGTGTCTCTAAGCAAACATCTGCATGCAGCACGTGACAATTCTCAGTCTCTAAGGAGTGGGGGCCAGAAACCCAGACCAGAAAACCTCTTTTCTTCTTTTCCTACCTCTTACTCTTCAGTGCTTTCTTTCTGTAACAAGAAAATGACCAAATACACTAAAGATTCAAAATACTACCTGTGTAAAATTTCAAAACGTCATTTTCTAATTATACAAATAACTGCATATATTAGATTAAATATGACAAATCAATCCTGAATTAGACATAACAGAATAACTAAAAAATAAAAATGACAAAGAAAGCAAATATAAGCTTCTAACTTAAGACAACTGCAACTTAGATATTCACACACAATGAATCTCTCACTCTCCATAATGTAAGAAAACGGATACTCTCAGAAGCTTAAGTTGTATCTAAGCTAACGTGCCCTCACCCCTCCCAGCCTGCTCCTCCTCCTCCTCACACTGACACACATCTCACATCACTCAATGGAACACCTTTCTCGCCATCTCCAAGTTACAAGCAAATACATCCGTGACCGTTACAAGTTTATGCACAGAACATGTCTACTCTCAAATGCCTGTTCCCTCATTACTTCAACATTGACTCATGTGTCGGTCTCTATTAACAAAGCAGAGATAAAATATATCAAATGCCTAACCTCTTGATTTTCTACTCCATTGCTGGAAAGCTCCAGAACAGAACCTCCGCTGTCAACCACTGCCGATGCCATTGTGTGTTCCCCGAGGAAGTTTCAAATGCTACGAATCAATGTAATTAAGGCTCACAGATGATTGCCACGGTTATAGGTTCCATTTTCATGTTTCAATTCAATAGACATCCAGAAGTCCAGTCTTCTAAAGATGATTAACAAAAGGGTCTAAAAAGAGAGAAAATGAGGAATTGTTAAAGATACATAGGAACGATATAAAGCAATTTAGTGTTTAATAGTTTAATTAAGCAAGATATTGGCTTTTGCATGTGTCAAAAGACAGTAAATAACACTCTACTTAAGAACTGAATATTCAAATTCATTAACTTAATGAATAATATTTTACCAAGCTATTGTATACAGTGATTGTTATAGAAGGCATTATGTTAAAACTTCCTTGGGCTTTAGGGATTGATCAGCGGGTAAGAGCACTGGCTGCTCTTCCCCAGGACCCAGTCTCAGTTCCCAGCACCCACATGGCAGCTCACAACTGTCTGTAACTCAATTTCCAAGGGATCCAGCACCTTCTTCTGGCACACACACCAGGCACACACATGGTGCACAGACATACATGCAGACAAAACACCCATACACATATTTTTCTTTAAATATTTTTAAAATGTTATAGCTTCTTTCTTTTATGGAGCTGCAATATTATACCTGGAATATTTTAATGGATTTTTTTTTTTAATCTAGGCTGGAGAGAGACAGCTCAGTGGTTAAGAGTACTGAGCTCAGCAGGGCAGTGGTGGCACATTGCTTTTGATCTCAACGACTGGGAAGCAGAGGCAGGTGGATCTCTGTAAGATCAAGGCCAGCCTGGTCTACAGAGCAAGTTCCAGGACAGCCAAGACTACACAGAGAAACCCAACCCTGCCTTAAAAAAACAAAACAAAGAGTACTGAGTTCCCAGCACCCACTGTCAAGCTGCTCCAGGGAATCCAACGCCCTCATCCTCCTTCTGCTGTCACCTGTGTTCACACTACATACTGACACACAGACATACACATAATTTTTTTAAAAAAATCTTCTTTAAAATAATTTTTAAACTCATTTAAGCAAATAAAACGTGGGCAGTGGGGCTTATGCAATGAGTGGCTGCTTTTACTAACAGAGCCATCTCTCAGCCCCTCCCAAAGGCAGCTTCTCCTCTTCTTCCTCTTCTTCCTCCTCTTCTTCCTCTTCTTTCCTTTCTTCCTCCTCTTCTTCCTCTTCTTCTTGTTTTTAAATTTTTACTTATTTCTATTTCATGTGCATTGATATTTTGCCTGCATTTATAACTGTGTGAGGGCATTGGATCCTCTGGAATTGAAGTTACAGACAATTGTGAGCACCATGTGGATACTGCGAATTGAACCCAGATCCTCTGGAAGAGCAATCAGTGCTTTTAACCATTGAGCCATCTCTCCAACCCCATAATCTAATACTTTTAAGTCTCCTTCTGCATATTTTAAAAAAACAATTTGTTTATTATTTAATGTGTATGTGTGTGTGTGAGAGTGTATGTATAGGTACCATATATGTGCAAATCCATGCAGAGGCCGGAAGAGGGAGCTAGATCCCCTGGACCTGGAGGATAAGCAGTTGCCAACTGTGGGCAGTGGGTACTAGGAACCGAACCCAGGTCCTCTGAAAGAGCAGCAAGTCCTCTGAGCCACTGGACTAGCCCTTCTTTTACATCTTAGAAAGTTAAATACGAAGTGTTTATGTCTTCAGAAAATTGAGGAAAAATCCACAATCCCTGCACATCAAAGCTCCCTGCTACTATATAAGCATTCTAAAACATATATAAAAGCAGAAGTAAACTTTACTTACAGTTTGAACGTTAGGTAGTCTAAGCATCCTTCACTGTTTTCACAAGTCCCAAGAGCTAAATTCTAAACCAGCAGTTCTCTGGAAATACTAATGGAAAGAAGAAAGTATTAACACAACTCTATTAAAAATTGTTTTTGCCCTAGTTAGATGTGACTCAGACAGTAAATACTTAATAAATCATTTCCTAAGGCTGATGACACACGCTTACACAAATGTAGAATCATTATTTCTAGATGACCAAGGAATCCAAAACTTTACATTCACTGCAATTTTAAGCTACCACCAAATGATAATTATTAAAGGTCAGATCCAACATACACAGACCGTGCCCCATATTATAGCGTATATTACAGTCAACCAATAGGCTTTTTTATTTTTATGTTTAAAAAGCAGGGGGAGATGCATCCCCTGAAACTGGAGTCTCAGGAGGTCTTGAGGAACTAACTATGTGTGTACCAGAGTCAAAGAGCAGATAACGCTCTTACCTGCTGAATTACATCTGCAGCCCCAACCAGAAGCGTCATAAGTGGTGGCAACTAATCTAACTCCTTGTGCTGGCTAGTTGTTGGGTGTTTGTTTGTTTGTGTTTGTTTGTTTTTTTGTTTTTTCGAGACAAGGTTTCTCTGTGTAGCCCTGGCTGTCCTGGAACTCACTCTGTAGACCAGGCTGGCCTCGAACTCAGTAATCCACCTGCCTCTGCCTCCCAAGTGCTAGGATTAAAGGTGTGCCTACCACTGCCCTGCATGAGATCCCTTTTTTTTTTATATATATATAGATGGCTGTGAGCCACCATGTGATTGCTGGGAATTGAACTCAGGACCTCTGGAAGAGCAGACAGTGCTCTTAACCGCTGAGCCATTTCACCAGCCTGTGCTGACTAGTTTTATGTCAACTTGACAAAAGCTACAGTCACTGTAGATGAATTGCCTCAATAAGATCTAGGCAGGTTTTAGGATATTTTCTTAGTGATTGACAGGGGAGGGCCCAGTCCCTTGTGGGTGGGGCTATCCTTGGGCAGGTGATGTGAGTTCTATAAGAAAGCAGGCTGAGCAAGCCATGGGAAGGAAGCCAGTAAGCAGGACTCCTCCGGGCTTCTGCCTCAGCTCCTACTTCCAGGTTCCTGCTCTGTCTGAATCCCTGACTTACTTCATGATGAACAGCAATATGGGAATGTAAGCCAGATAAACCCATTCCTCTCCAGCGTGCTTTCGGTCATGGTGCTTTATCACAGCAATAGAAACACAAACTAAGACACTCCCCTTCAGGAGTATAAAGTTTGAAAAAAATAAAACTACAGTTGGGTGTGCTGACACACACCTTTAACCTAAAATCCAAGAGCCAGAGAGAGGTAGATCTGAGTTTCAGATCAGCCAGGACTATGTATCTCAGACTGTCTCAGACAGACACACAGACAGACAGACAGACAGACAGACAGACAGACAGACATTGATTTTTTTTTTAAAGAGCTAAAGGTGGATATGGTGGCATATGCCTTTAATTCCAGCATCCAGGAGCAGCCTGTTTTAAATAGCTCAGACCTTGTCTCAAAAGCAGTCAAAAAAAAAAAAAAATCAATAGTCAATGAGCCTCATGTAAATTGAACTCAAAGAGAACCACATGGTAACACACAATATAGTGATCCTTTAAAAAACTACAGACAGAGGCTTGGAGAGATGGCTCAGCTGTTAAGAGCACTGACTGCTCTTCCAGAGGTCCTGAGTTCAATTCCCAGCAACTGAATGGTGGCTCACAACCATTTGTAATGGGATCTGATGCTCTCCTTTGGTGTGTCTTAAGACAGCGACCCTGTAAAGACAGCGACCCTGTACTCACACACATAAAGTAAATAAATCTTTAAAAAAACATGTAAAAACAAAAAACCTACAGACAGGGCAGGAAAGATGGCCTCGCTGCTGAACACACTCACTGCTCCTGTATAGGACCAAGGTTTAGTTTCCAACACCTATGTGGCAATTCACAAGAATCCATCATTACAGTTTCAGGGATCCAAAACCATCTTCTGGTCTTAGCAGGTGTTACACATAAACATACATACTGATGCTGCAAAGACATACAGGCAAACACTGATACATTTACATTTTTAAATTAATAAATCTTATTTTTTTGGGGGGGGGTTGGTTTTTGGAGACAGGGTTTCTCTATGTAGCCCTGGCTATCCTGGAACTCACTCTGTAGACCAGGCTGGCCTCGAACTCAGAAATCAATCTGCCTCTCCCTCCCAAGTGCTGGGATTAAAGGCATGTGCCACCACTGCCCGGCATAATAAATCTTTTTTAAAAATCAAAGACAAAGAAACTTGGAAGCAAGAGGAAAATGATCTGTCTGTCACATGAGCAGTCCTCACCAGGATCACCAGGAAATCCTGCATCAGCAGTATCTGGTGGTCAGAAGATTGGCAAATATATTCAAAGAACTAAAAAAAACAAAACACAAAACACAAAACTATCAATAAAGAACCCTATGTTCTGCAGAACTGGCCTTCAAAAGCAGAGGTAGGAAGGAAGTCTCAAGAGTTCGTTGCTCCTAAGCAGAGGCAGGCTTCAAGGGATGCTTAGATGAGCCCAGAGAGACAGAGAGAGGCCCTGGGCTTCAGGCTATGTGAGGAAATCAAGGCCAGGATTCAGACAGCAGAGACTCGTTGCTGTTAATGGTTTTTATTCACTTTCGTTTTTCCATGTGCTTTAAAAGACTAACAAACTTGCTCAAAACATTTTTTGTCTAAAAGCCAATATATTCATATAAACTTGGTTTAACTACACATTTTATTTATTTTATTTAATGAGGATATCATTTTAAAAATTAGTTTATTTGGGGAACACATGCATGAAGGCAAAAGTCTTGTGACATCTGAAAGAGATGGAGGACCATAAAGGAGTTTTTGTTTTGCTGGCGCTGGAGATGAACGCAGGGGTCTGTGCGTACACAGCAAGCCGCTGAGCTATATCACCAGTACATAAGGAGTGTTTTACAGTATTAAACTCACACTACTCAAATTCAAATTAGTGTTCAAAAAGAGTGTTACTGCAGGTTGGTAAATGTAATTCCAATAGCAAACAAACAAACAAACAAACAAAAATAGCTACAGGATAGATAATAACAGGAAATGAAGAATGTAAAGATTCTACTTTTTAAAAAAAATCAATTAAAAGGAAACAATACCAAAAAATAAAGGCCAAAATTCCTGGTGCTGTATAGGAAATATGTAAGAAAGTTACAGAAGTATCTTTTTCTTGTTAATCACTTGGTTAAAGACTCAGTGCGCACAGAGACAAGTGAATCTTAAGCTGACATGGTTGCCAGCATTTACCAGCAGAACTAAAGATGACACTGCTGCCTGGCATTTAGCCTCCTAACCTTTCACATAGGCTCAGACTCTGGAACAGCAGGGCAGAGTCAGGAAGTGTGTATGGACAGCGCAGCGGCTACTGTAACTGTACTAAACGTTAAAGCTTTATACCTACTGATGTTGGAGTTTTAGATAAACTCTAAGGAAGAAATTTCCGGGAGGAAACTTATTTTTCCTGATATTGTTTCTAAGACCAAACATCATTTACATGAAAGCCTATATATAACATTTACCCAAACTCTGATTTAAAAGAAAACAAATCCTGCTCTAAGTTAATTCTCTCGCTGGAAATGAAAGCACTACATCTTTCCTGTGGCTCTCTGCACACGTGGAAAAAACAAGCAGACAGCCGGTCCTTCTGGCCAGCTGACCTCTGACCTCACACTTCTCCCCTACCTGGGCTTGCTGAACTCCGGCGGCGCACGGGCACTCACACCAGCACTCACATCAGGGACCACGCAGTCTCTACAGCTGTTCCCCAGTCTCCAGCACACTGTCAGCAGCAGGGCGGACAGCATCCTGCGAGACAGTCCCTACACCTCCCCTTCAGCCACTGTTCATCGGCACACAGGCCTCCTATCGTTCCCTATTTAAAATCATAGTGTTCTTCACTTGCTGTATTTATCGCTCTCTAAAATTACCTTGTTTGGCTTTTTCATGCCTGTCTCCTCTCCCAAAATACAAGGGTCAAGAGAGCAGTAAAACAGCAGCTACTGTGTCTGCTGTATCTTCCCAAAAACAAAAACTTAAAATACTATTAACGGTTTATTTTATTTTTAGTGAATTATTTGTGTGTGTGGAAGTAAGCATCCGTGAGCAGATACCTGGAGGCAAGAAAGAGGTGCTCGACCTCCAGCACCAGCCGTGCCCCTAACAAGTGCAAGGCTGGGAAGGTTTCCCAAAACTTTAGAACCATCCCAACTCAGTATACTGCCCTCGTCAGCTGCTTCCCTCTCACTGCACCCTGGCTTGTCGTTCCTACCTGTGGCGCCTAACTCAGGCGCCTAACACGGGAACCAAGCAACAGCAAGAAGTAAGGACAGACAAGTACCTATCTATACTTTATTTCCATTTGGAAGACTGAGGAGATTGTGAAATGATTTATCTTCTGTTTTTAGGTATTTTTACTTATGTGAATGAGTATTTTGCCTGAATACATTTGTGCATCACGTGCATAAGGGCCTGGTGCCCACAAAAGCATCGGGTCCCTTGGTACTACAGTTAATAAAGACTGCGAGCCACCATGTGGATGCTGAGAACTAAACCTAGGTCCACTGCAAGAGCCACAAACGTGCTTAACAGCCAAACCTGGGCGAAGGACACGTCTCATCTGCCATATCTGGCCAGCTGAGTCCCATGCCCAGGACCTGCACGGCAGTACAGGAGAAGCGATGCCTGTAAGTTGGTCTCCACACCAGTGCACATTCGTCCAATATAAATAAATGTAACTAAAATTTCAGTTGATATTTTAAAAATATATATGGCTCCTATCTATCAATAACCATTAGTTAATTAGATAAAGTTGCAAACTGTTTAAATAAAAACTATTACATAAAATTCAACGTTCAAAAGTAATATACTACTGTGCATATCTTGAAATACAAACACTGACTAGGATCTTAAGTAAAACATTTTGTCATTCAATAAATGATTTAGATGTTACTTTATATCTAAAATTTAGAATGAGAAGGCTCAGAGAGTTAAGACACTTGTTGCCAAG